CAGGACAGAGTAGAATTTCCAAAGCTATAAACCTTTATAACAGCAAAGTGTTATAGCTTTCTCCTACAGAAAAGCTGGTGGGTTTGAACTGCTGACCTTTTGGTTAGCAGCAGAGTGCATAACCACTATGCCATTTTATACTTCTCTATGTCTCTTCCACTTTTCCTTTGCTGGGATGTCCTGCCCCTTGCTTCCCTTCCTGAAAGACTTAATGCAAACATTTCTCCTGGGCTAGCCCTTATGCTGATCTATACAGCAACAGTATGGATTATTTATATTGATATATGTAAAGGAGTCCTGGTGTGGTGCCTTAGGGTAAGCATTAGATCTTAAAATCTGTTTGAACTGCAAGGTTGGCAGTTCAAACTCACCAATCATTCCTCGGAAACCCTACACAAGGTCACTAGGAATTGGAACTGACTTGAGAGCACTTAACAACAACAATAACAATATATGTTAAATAATCTAATTATATATGACAATAGCTCCTTCCTCCTTTGAATTCCTTTAAAAACTGGGAAGCCGATTGAACCAGCATGGCCACTATAGCCTAGAGTTCTGAGCATGTGCCCTTGTCCTCAGAGTTCACTCACCCAAAATAAGAAAGGTCTTCAAGAGGAGTTCAAAGGATGGGTCCTTGTCAGGCCATTAGAACAATGTTACAGATCTTTACAATGAATCTTGAAGGAGCAAGAGTGTACTATTTCCTGAAGTCTGTTCTCTCCAGATAGCCTCTCAGCAGAGGCCAAAATAGCTATGGACTGAATGTTTACAGGCTCACAAGAAGGAGTTCTTTCAGCTTAAGTGGAGGCAGAGGAACATTGCTAAAGTGTTCTAGTTTCCACAGACTCCAGATTGCTTCTGTTAGAGAAAGGCCACCTTTCTGATGTATCTGGCACTTGATGTTCGGAGACAAGATGTACCTATTCAGAGTGTTCTAAAGTACATGAAATGATTGTTGCTGCTTTGGATGCACAGAGTCCCTGAGGAACCACATCCATAATGCTTTAATTCTACCAGTGGTATCTTTTTATTTTTTTTTCTGGAAGCATTCTGGGGAAATGATGAATGTGTACTTGAACACTAAGATAATACATTTGGAGGCTAATAAGAATTCTTGTTTTTGTTAGGTACCATTAAGTCAGTTCCAACTCATAGCACCCTATGCACAACCGAAGGAAATACTGTGGGGTCCTGCTCTAGTCTCACAATTGTTGTTATGTTTGAGCTCATTGTTGTTGCCACTGTATCAATCCATCTCATTGAGGGTCTTCCTCTTTTTCTCAGACCCTCCACTTTCCCAAACATGATGTCCATCTTGAGGGACTAGTCCCTCATGACAACATGACCAATGAACTAGAGAAGAAGTCTCACCATCCTTGCTTCTAAGAAGAATTCTTGCTGCACTTCTTCCAAGACAGATTTGTTACAGCAAGGATTAGTCCCACACCCTCGGTACACAGGGTTGACAGGGATGGGCAACTTAGACATTGGCTACCCAAAATGGCGGGGCTACAAAGGCACGAAGTGACTCGCTTACAAGTTTTCAAGAAGGAGCTTAGTTTCAGAGGGTGCGGGGGAAGGTAAAATCTCCACTGAGTGGTTTCTAACCTGTCTAGACAGGGCTGGTGAAAGGAGATGGGAATAAGACTCTTGTGGTTCAATAGTGAATAATAAGTATCAGGACTGATCCTGATTGTTGCATATGTAAAGGTAGACGTTTTGTAACAAAAGAAGGGGAGTGGTTGATCTTGCAGTCCAGGAGCGGAGGACCCTGGGACCATCAAGGGAGAAGAGTAGAGTGTGAGACCCTATCCAGAGAAGCTGTGATGCCAGAGATGGAGGCAGAGATGATGCCATGGAAAGATGGAGTGGCTGGGGACTCTAGACTCAAGGAGGGAGAGGGGCTATGGGCTGGTGGCCAGGGGGCAGGCTTGCAGGATATGCCCTTTGGTTGTTTGAATGGTTATATATTCCTGAGTGCTTTAGTGTACATCCAAAACCAAAACAAAAAACCCTTGAGGGAATGGAAGCAAATGTTGTTGAATGATGATGCATGGAGGGGATTGTAATCATTGCAATGAAACAAAATACAATAGGATGAATGTAAAGCTGATGTTCTCCCATGTAAACTATCACTCAATTCACAATAAAAACTTAAAAAAAAACAACTCCTCTTTAAAGTGTTAAAGAGCAGAGGTGTAAGTTTGAGGATTAAAGTGTGCATGATCCAAGCCATGTGAAAGTTAGCAATGAATGACTAAGACTATAGAAGAATCAATGCATTTGAATTATGGTGTTGATGAAGACCATTAGAAGCACTAAGGACTGGCAGAAGAACCAACACACATGTTTAGGAAGAAGCACAGCCAGAATGTTCCTTAGAAGTCAGCATGGTGAGACTTTGCCTCTAGTACTTTGGATATGTTTTCTGGAGAAGGACATTAAGCTTGGTAAAGTAGTTCATAGGGTTTCCAAGGAGCAGCTGGTGAGTTGGAACCACCAAGGGTCAGTAAAAAAGAGGAAGCCCCTCAATGAGATGGACTGAGTGTCTGCAACAATGAGTTCAATATAACAATTATGAGGATGGCCCAGGACTGGACAGTGTTTCCTTTTGTTTTGCATAAAATGGCTGTGAGTTAGAACCTACTTGTTGTTGTTGTCAATTGCCATCGAGTCAGTTCCAATCCATAGCGACCCTGTATGGGTTTCCAAGCAGCAGCTGGTGAGCTTGAACCACCAACCTTGTGGTTTTCAGTGCAGCACATTAGCCCACATCACCACACCAGGACTCCAGAATCTACTAGAAGGCACCTAATAGCAACAGGACAAGTTGAGTGACTTTTACCAATTGCTGTGGTATTGATTTTGACTCATGGGGACTTTCTGTGTATCAGAGAAGAACTGTGAGTCCTAGGGTGGTCAGTGACTGATTTTTCTGAAGTATATTGCCTGGTCTTTCTTCCAAGAAGTCTCTTGGTGAACTCAAACCTCTAGCCTTCTAGTTAACAGTCAAGTGTGTTAACTCTGCATTACGCAGACACTCTAGCTTGCCTTTATTTCTTCTTCTTCTTTTTTTTTAAGTAAAACTATTCATTTCCCCTTCTCTCTCCCTTCTTTTATTTCTTTCCTATTCCTACCATACTTTGGCAAACAGTGATACTGGGAAGCACATGTGTCTGTTGACATAATTTAGTCCTGGTGTGGCACTGTGGGTTAATACACCAGACTGCAAGATTGGTGGTTCAAGGTCACCAGCTGCTCCTTGGAAACCCTACACAGGGTTACTATGGGTTGGAATCGACTCAACGATACTTCACAACAGCAAGAAAAAGCATTTTTACAATTAATCTAAGACATACACATGTCAAGGTAGAGTTGTTTGTTATCTAAATTTAAAATTTTAATTGAAATGCAAATTCTGGTTTTGAGGCTGGATCCAAGAATGTATGACAATTAACATCAAGATTAGGAGGTTTCCTTGTGAAAGGGATTCTGAGTAACTGATGATTTTCAAAATCTATTTCCACCTACTCAGATGACCCAAAAGGCTTTGGTGTTGACCTACTAATTGGGTTATTTCCATCCAGTCCCTCTGGTGTAGGATCAAAGCAAATGATATTTCCTATGTAGAATCTTTGTATGGGTACTTTTTTGCTCTCTATAAAAAACAGTGTGAATATAATGAAGAGCAAAAACAACTTGGAAGGGAGACATCTAATAAAGTGCATTGTGAAGACCACACAATAGGGAAGAGGAAGGAATCTATCTGACTGAAGGACTGAATGCATTATGGGTTGTCTCTATAAAGCGCTTTGTTTCGTGTTGTAATGCCTGTTGATTGTCACATTTCCTTCATATCCACATGCTGCCAACTTAAGGCTTGACCATCCATATCTTGTGTGTTTATGCCTTGTACATATGTGCTCATGTTGACTAGATGTGGTGACACATACCAGTGATGGGGCTCACATTTATACCTATTTCATCTTGGGCTTAGACAAAAAGTTTTCAAAATCAGCACAGTAAGAGCACAGTAATGCCCTTAATAAGATTTGATGTGGAAGTTTGGACATACTGGGCTTTTAAAAAACAGATTATATACAGTCATAATGAAAGTGGAATCATGTTAAGACTAAAGTCAGTTGACTATCCTCTAGGAAAAAGGGATAACTTTGTAATAAATTGACTGGCAGAAGATGAAACAAACCTGCTTGCTAGAGGTAACTTGCTTCAGTGAGAAAGCCATGGAGTCCAGACTGAAGCATGACCACAGAAAATTGCTCACCTGCTCTGTGAGTCAGTGTACAGACCTATACAATAAGCTAGTAATCCTACACAATGGGTTTGAATGAATTGTGCTATCCATTGATGGAACATATTGAAGAAGGGCTAGCTGTAAGAAAAGCCTGAAGAAACAAAACTTGTGCAGATACTACAGAGGTATGATGATACATTCTACAGGAAATAAGGAATTCGTGTGCAGAAAATATCATGTACACATGTTTAAAGAACTTGTTCTTTAACCACTGAAGTAACTATTTGTCAAGAACTTACTTAGTTTTAGTCATTGCCTATGACACATTGAGGGATGGGTCAAATATGAAAAGGACATTCTTTACCCTCTGGCCTCCTTTCACAGACAGAAACACAAACTCATAATCCCCACACAAAACTTAGATAAGAAGCATGCACAAATTGCTAGATGGAGTAATATTCAAATTCACATATTTGTCCCTTAAGGGGGTCAAGGTCCACAGGGGAGAAGAAGAAAGATTAGCAGGAACGAGAATCACCACACTGTTACAGTATTAGTTGTTGTGATTCTCCTGTTTATTTCAGATCTATGTTGTATGAAGCAAATATGTGAAAAGTTTGAACTAAGTAAGGATTCCAGTGCTGTGCATTCCAAATGGTAGATCTTACTTGTGGGCAAATGATTACTATCTTGCATAATCTTAACCTTTGTGTGTGTTTCTCATAATAATTGTTTTTCATACCTTTAGGTGCCATATCTAAGAACTGACTTTGAAGATTTTCCAGTTGTTCAATGGTCAGGGTACCATTTTCTTCTTTTTCTACAGGCGGAGGACGTATCGGTGGTGGAGAATCTGGAAAGACTTTGATATCACCATTAATGAAGAAGTCTTCTTGGTTTAAATAAAGTTCATTTTGAATTTTGGTGGATGTTTCAATGTGATATCGAGCTACCTCAGTTAATTTTTCAACACTAAAAGAGGAAAAATTGTTATCGCCATTAAAGATAACTATGATATTGCTTTTAAGACATATACACCAAGTTAACTCATTATAAACCTACTAAGAGGGCAGAATAACCAGTAAGATAAAACTGTTAGAATATATATTTAGTTGACATTGGGATAAATTAGAGGGAACCAAATTTGATAATGCATTTCACATTATGTCAGAGGTGTGGCGCTGTGGGTTAATGCACTGGACTGCAAAGTCATTTGAACTGCAACGTTGGTGGTTCAAGCTCACCAGCCACTCCTGAGAAACCCTATACTGGTCACTATGGGTCGGAACCGACTTGACAGTACTTAACAACAACAACAAGACATATTTATCAGACTGAGCTCTGATACGTATATTCCACTGAAATGGCTTTGCTTCACAAAGAAAATAGATCCTAACTAGATCACCTGGCTATGTTGTTATTGTGAAGTGCTGTGTGGAGTTGGTTCTGACTCATAGTTATTCAGTATAGGGTTTCCAAAGAGCAGTTGGTGGGTTTGAATTGCTGGCCTTGTAGTTAGCAGACCAGTGCTTATCGTACAGTGCCACAGAAGTAATAATCAGGAACAACTATGGTGTAGTAGGAAGACCTCTGGAAGCTGAGTTCTTATTTTAAGACATTTTCTAGACCATTCTCAAGTGACTTGATAAGTCACTTAAATTCTGAATCTTCGTCTTTTTACAATGAAGCCAACAACACACTATCCCCTACCTTAGTCAGGGTAATATGAAATCACATAGACTGTGTATTTAAACTGTGCTGAAGATTATAGTTAAGGCCTTAATTAGTGAAACAAAAGTTTAAAGACCATGAGTAAGTATGAATAAGTAGTTTGAATAAGTATGAACATGAATTTTACTTCCTCATAAATGAATAAGCAAAATTGCACTGTGTTGAACAGTGTTGCTCATGTCTTATAATGAAAGATAAACCTTCACAGGAAAATACATATTTAATATGCTACATTGTTGTTGTTAATGCCTTTGAGTTGGTCCTGATTCACAGGGACTCTGTATAGAGTTTCCAAGGAGCAGCTGGTGGGTTTGAACCACTGACCTTGCAGTTAGCAGTCCAGTGCTTATCCTACAGTACCACACCAGGACCTCTCCAATATGCTACTGTTATTGTTGTTAAGCACCCATGATTCAGTTCTGACTCATAACAACCCTGCATAAGGTTCCCAAGGAGTGGCTGGTGGGCTTGAACTGCCAAACCTATGGTTCGCAGTCAAGTGCTTATCCTACAGCGCCACACCAGGACGCCCATATAGTATGCTTTATCTAATTCGTTTATACTTGAGAGTGTTTGTGTCCTGGGGGTTGAGAGGAGAGCTGGAGAGGGGAGGGGGGAAAGAACATGAAGGAGGAGGGGCTGGAAAACTAGGTAGAGACTCAACCAGAACTAGGATTTTAAAACAGATGTGCGCCACCTGGTGGAAGGTAACCAAGGTAATGTTGTTGTTAAGTGCTGTGGAGTTGATTCCAACTCATAGCGACCCAGTGTAGGGTTTCCAAGGAGTGGCTGGTAAGTTTGAATCGTCAACCTTGAGGTTCAAATCGACCTTATGGTTGAGTGCTTATCCTACAGATGGAAGGTAATTGGCTCAATAATGGAAGGGTGGGATAAGCCAGGAAATGAAAAACTAGGATTTGAAATTCAAAGAGATCTGACAGCTTTTTGCTTTGTTCTCTTTTCGTGTATCACCAAAGACTTTTTGTAGTAACAGAAAGCATAGTCCCAAATCCCTAGGTTTACATTTCTTGTGGCTATAATACACGAGAGCATGTGCAGATTCAGAGGGCAGAGAGACGCATATCTACAATGTCATTCAGTATCCCTGCTGCTGCATGCTGTCCTGTGTACAGTGCCCTGTATAAGGTTTCTGGGGTTGTAAATCTTCATGGGAGCAGAAAGTCTTACCGTTCTCCCACAGGGCGGCTGGTGGATTAGAACTGCTAACCTTATAGTTTAATGTATAACCCACAACACTCTCAGGGCTCCTTATTAATCTCTGGTAGCGTAGTGGTTACAAATCGGGCTGTGAACCTCAAGGTCAGCAGTTTGAAACTACCAGCTGCTCCACGGGAGAAAGATGAGGCTTTCTGCTACCGTAAAGATTAACAGCCTAGGAAACCCTGTGCGGGGTCGCTATGAATCAGAACCGACTCCATGGCACATAACAACAACAACAACAGTATAAATTGGAGTACATCTGATAAAAATATGAAGCCTGTATACTTTATAGTCATCCATGGCAACCATGAAGAAGGTCCACTTTCAGTTTTTCCAGTCACACAGAGAACAGAGCTAAACATCACCGTGATGTTTGTAAGTTCTGTGCTGATAGCTTATTTAGTTGTTAAGTGCCATCAAGTCAGTTCCAACTCATAGTGATGCTGCATAGGGTTTCTGAGGAGAGGCTGGTGGGTTTGAACCATCAACCTTGTGGTTTGTGGTCTAGTGCTGGCACACAGTGCCACATTAGGAGTCCAATATATATATATATATATATATTGTTGTTGTTGTTACTAAATATACTCCTGGTGTGACACTGTGGATCAGCACTGGACTGTGAACTACAAGGTTGATGGTTCAAATCCACCATCAGCTCTCAGAAACCCTATATAGGGTCGCTATGAGTTGGAATCTACAGCACTTTACAATAAGTATATATATAGTTAATAGATGTCCTGATGAGATGCTGAAGGATAATCACTTGACTGCTAACCAGCCACTTCTTGGAACTATATACAGGTGTCTGTGAGTTGGAACTGACTTGACAGAACTTAACAACAGCAATATACAGACATGTGTATATTGGATATATACAACATATAGAGATGGAGTTCTGGTGTGGCGCTATGAGGTGCTGGACTGCAAGGTCGGCAGTTCAAGCTCATCAGCTGCTCTTTGGAAACTCAATACAGGCTCGCTATGGGTTGGAACCATCTCGATGGCACTTAACAACAACATGTGTGTATATATATATTTCTTTTTTTTTTTTTTTTCACTGTGGAGTCAACAGTTCTAAACAATTATCCTGACGATTTCATAGTAGAACTTTAATTATGTGACAAGGATGGGAGAAAACAAACCGTAAGAACTGGCTTTTAAAGGGCAGTTGTTGCCTTTGAGAATACTTGACATTTGAATCCTATGTACATTTGTTGTTGTTAAGTGCTATCTTTACAGAAGCAGAAAAGCCTCATCTTTCTGCTATGGAACAGCTGGTAGTTTTGAACTGCTGACCTTAAGGTTCACAGCCTGATTCGTAACCATTACACTATAGCAGCTTCCAAAATTTCAGTATGTATCACAAACTGTAGTGTATCACAGAATCTAGATCTAGTAGAAAGCTCTGAAATAGCCTGGGTAGAGTGTTCTGTTGTATAGATGAAGCTGATGAGGCCCAAAGTGATTGCGCTGCTCATTTGTGAGCAATATAGGGGAAAAAATGAGATCTTCGGATTCTCAACTGAGAGCTATTTCTACACTTCTGAGTTGTCTCTTTATGACTTGCTGGGTAGGACTCAGAGAAATAGACTCACTGACCCTCACTAGCAATGATATACTGGAACTAACTGGAGAAACAGAACTGGGTATTTCCCTGGTAAGGGATTCAGCCTAACTGGCCAAACATTTCGGTGAGAAGCTTCTTCACCTTCCATTAATTGTATGGTGCTTTAGGATAAGTCTAAAAGGAGCTGTGATGATAAGATACAGTGTCTAAGTGCTTGGTGGCTAACTGAAGGTTGGCAGTTTCAATCCACTAGCTGCTCTCTGAGAGAAAGCTATGGCAGTTTTCTTTCATAAAAATTTAAAGCCTTGGGAACCCTGTGGGAGCAGTTCTACTTTGTCCTACGGTCACTACGAGTCAGAATTGACAGCGTTGATTAACTTTAAAAATAAGTCTGGCACTAGAAAAATATGAAATGCTACTATTCCATTTGAAAATCTTTTTTGAAAATTACTTATCATCTTACTGTGTAAACCAAGGTACTCTTTGAACCAAACTCATCAATTCCATGTAAAACTGGATATGAAGATGGAATGCTTTGATTTGATGTAGGATTTGCTGTTTGAAAACAGCAAATATAGATGTGATTATAAATGTTCACTCCTAGTGTTCAGCAGATGCAACTTCCTGAAAGTTCAAAGTTTATATTTGCAAATGTAATTTATATTTGCTAGTTTACATTTACACATATCTTAAATGTCTTTTATAAATCTGCTACTCAGGAATTAACAAGGCATAAGTTTAAGGAGCTCTGGTAGCGCAGTGGTTACAAATCGGGCTGCGAACCTTAAGGTCAGCGGTTCGAAACTACCAGCCACTCTGCGGGAGAAAGATGAGGTTTTCTACCCCCCGTAAAGATTTACACCCTCGGAAACCCTGTACAGGGTCGCTATGGGTCGAAACCAACTTGACGGTACTTAACAACAACAACAACAACAACAATTTAAAAAGGCATGTAGTACTTTACCTGGCCATTTCACGCAAGTACCTCTGCCCAAGCCACTTTTCCAGGAGTTTATACACATCTACCACCTTTGTTACCAGATCTTCAAGAAAAGCCAATGCTTTCGTCTTTATCAGTTCAAGTCGAAACTGCGTGGCTATTTCTGTTTTGAAAGATAAATATGGATTTTTAGAAAAGTATTATATGTACCCACAGTTTCTGATGAACTGAATTCATTTTTAAACCGATTATGCTTCGAGTTGCGAAGTTCTAGGTGCATATTTAGTATGCCAGCATAGATAAGGTAATGCTGCTGGTGAGAGGTGTCCTTGAGTTGGTTCCGACTCAAAGCTACCCTAACTCTGTACAGCAGGCTAAAATGTACACTACCCAATCCCTCACCATCCTCGCAATGGTTACTCATGTTTCATTCCGTTTTTGCAGCTACTCACTGTGTTAATTCGTCTCATTGAGGGGTGTTCTCGATTTTACTGAAGTTCTACGTTACTAAGCATGATGTCATTCCTAATCCTATGGCCAAAGTATTTGAGATGAAGTCTCATCCTCCTTGCTTCCAAAGAGCATTCTGACTGTATATCTTCCAAGATTGATCTGTTCATTATTCTGGCAGTCCATGGTACTTTAAATATTCTTCACAAACACCATAACTGAAAGGCATGAATGCTTCTCCAATCGTCTTTATTCACTATCCAGCTTTCACACGCATAGGAAGCAACTGAATATAGGATGGCTTGGGTCAGGTGTGTCTTAGCCCTCAAAGTGACATCATTGCTTTTTTAAAAACAAAAACAAAACCTCAAACAATTTAAAGATGTCTTTAATTTAACAACAGATTTGTTCAATGCAATATATTCTTTGATTTCTTGACTGTTGCTTCTATGGTGTGGATCTTCAATCCCAGTAGAATGGAATCCTTGACAACTTCAACCTTTTTTCTGTATATAATGAGGTTTACTGGTCTAATAGTGAGGTTTTTCTTTTCTTTACAATGAGATGTGATACATACTGATCTTCATTAGCAAGTGCTTCAAGTCTTCTTTGCTTTCTATAAGCAAGGTTGTGTCATCTGCATTGTTGTCAGGTGCCATCGAGTCGGAACCGACTCATAGAGACCCCATGAACAGCAGAACGAAACAATGCCCAATCCTGGGCCAACCTCACTACTGCTGCCACACTTGAGTCCATCAATGATGCCATCTGGCCAATCCATCTCATTAGAGGTCTTCCTCTTTTTCTCTGACCCTCCACCTTACCCAGCATGACATCCTTCTCCAACGATTGTTTCCTCTGGACAATATGTCCAAAGTATGAGAGAGGAAGCTCAGCCATCCTGGCCTCCAAGGAGCATTCTGGCTGCACTTCTTCCAAAACAGATCTATTGGTTCTTTTGGCAGTCCATGGCACTTTCAGTATTCTCCTCCAACACCACAACTCAAAGGCATCAATTCTTCTATGATCCTCCTCATTCACTGTCCAGCTTTCGCATCCATATGAGGCTATTGAAAACACCATGGCCTGGGTCAGATACACCTTAGTCCTCAAGCTGACATCTCTGTTCTTCAACACTTTAAAAAGTTCCTGTGCAGCAGATTTGCCCAGTGCCATACGTCGTCTGATCTCTTGACTGCTGCTTCCGCGAGTGTCATCTGCATATTACAGATTATTAATGAGTCTTTCTTCAATTCTGATGTCTTGTTCTTCTTTGTATAGTCAGATTACTTGCTCAGCATAAAGACTGCATAATTATGGTAAAAGGACAGATGCAATAGTGACACAATTTTTTTTTTTCTGATTTTTAAACTATGTTTTCTTTGAACTAGTACCTGTTTGCCTATGTACAGGTTCTGTATGACCACAATGCAGTGTTCTGGAATTCCCACTCTGTGGGATGTTTTTAATAATTTGTAATGATACACACAGTAGAATGCCTATGCATAGTCAATAAAACACAGGTAAACATCTTTCTGGTATACTCTACTTTTAGCCAAGATCCATCTGATATCAGTAATGACATCTCTCCTTCCACATTCTCTTCTGAATCTGGTTTGAATTTAAGACAGTATTTTATCTATTTTACTCAGAAGCAAATATAATGTTCACTAGGTGCTGTTATTGTTGTTAGGTTCCATTTAGTCGGTACTGACTCATAGTGACCTATGCACAATAGAACAAAACACTGCTAAGTCCTGGGCCAACCCCACAACGCTACGCCTGAACCCATTGCTGCTGCTATCGTGCCAGTCCATCTCATTGGGGGTCTTCCTCTTTTTCTTTGACCCTCCACCTTACCAAACACGATATCCTACTCCAGAGATTGTTCCCTCTTGATAATATGTCAAGACTTCGTATGGGAGACGAAGTCTGGCCATCCTGGCTCCCAAGGAGCACTCTGGCTATACTTCTTCCAATACAGATCTGTTGTCGTTTTGGAAGCTTATGGTACTTTTAATATTCTTTTCCAACACCATCATTCAAATACATCCATTCTTCTACGGTCTTCCTTATTCACTCTCCAACTTTTGCATGCATATGATGTTACTGAAAATACCATGGTTTGGGTCAGGTGCACCTTTGCTGCACCAGACTTCTTTTAAATGTGAGCTAGGTATTGGCAAAGAGTATTAAATATATTGTGGACTTCCAGAAGAATGAATACATCTGTGTTGGAAGAAATACAACCAGAACATTCTTTAGAAGCAAGGATGCCAGACTTTGTCTCATGTACTTTGTACATGTCATCAAGAAGGACCAGTCCCTGAAGAAGGACATTGTACTCAGCTAATTGAGTGTCAATGAAAAAGAGAAAGACCCTCAATAGAATTCATTGATACAATAGCTGAGACAATGAGCTGAATCGTAGGAATGACTGTGAGGATGACATGGGACCAGGCAGTGTTTCATTCTGTTGTACACAGGGTCACTGTGAGTTGGTATCTACTCAATGACACCTCACAACAACAACAGTAGCAACAACAGTCATTTAAAGAGATTATTCAAACATAATTATATTTGAACTTGATTGCTTTTTATTGTACTATGTTCTGTGAGAAACTTGGAATGGGAAAAAACAAGTGGATGATTTTGGATTTCAATAAGGATGGTGGGAACAAAGTCTCTTTATTATCTTACTGTTTGAATACCTTCATAAAACCTGTGTATTCCAGGGCCTGAAGCTGTTCCTTGTATATAATAAGGGTCATAGATTTTACTTCCAGAATATCTTTCCAACCCCATTTTTTGGCTGTTGCTTTTTTCCATTGCTAGACCTAGGTTAGGCAGCAATTTCCTCTCTGCCAAAGTAATAGCCTTCTTCCTGTTTTACTACCTTCTTTTCCCCATCTCAAATCTACTATCAAGAGTAATTTGTCTCATCTGCAGACATAACCACATTCATTTTTCTGCTCAAAATTCTTCACTAGTTCCCAGTTGACAGAGGGAAAATTAAAAAAAAATAAAAGTACTTAAAGAGCCTATATGACCCTGTGTTACAAGGCTCTCCTGTCCAACACACACTTCATGCTCTTGAGGTACTTGAAGGTAAACAAATGTTCCCCTTACCCCTCTCTCTGTCTTAGGATGCACTTCCCCTCTGCCTTTCTTACTTCTGTCTGGGCTTTGGGCAAATTTTCCATAGTCTTACAGTTCAGTTCAAACTCTAGCCTGACCCCCCCAATTCTGTCCTTCTCTGCCCCACGCTCCTTTAGGGTCATATGCCTATCTCCAATTTCACAACACAAGTGATTGCTTATATTTTGCTTTCTCTAGGTTGGATTTTGTTTGTCAGTTCATATTATATTTGCACACATACTATGTGTATGTCTCTAGCAATTATCACAGGGTCTGGCACTTCATGGAAACTCAAAAGACATTTTGTTCTATGAATGCATGAATTTGGTCCTACTAATTTGCCCTTGAGATTGTTGTTGTTGTCAGGTGCCATCGAGTCTGAACCGACTCATAGCGACCCCATGCACAGCAGAACGAAACAATGCCCGATCCTGGGCCAACCTCACCAACGCTGCCACCCCCGAGTCCATCAATGATGCCACCTGGCCGATCCATCTCGTTGGAGGTCTTCCTCTTTTTCTCTGACCCTCCACCCTACCCAGCATG